CGTTCTATGGGCATACCGAACTACAGAGAAAACCGCCATCGGAGAAACTCCCTTCAACCTCACCTATGGCACGGAGGTAGTCATCCCAGCCGAAATCGAAATCCCCTCACTTCGGTTGGAAGCATACAACGACAATACCAATAACGACGAGCTACATACCAACCTCGACCTGCTCGACGAGGCGAGGGACCTCACATACATCAGGACCGCAGCGTACCAGCAAATGGTAGCTCGGTACCACAACGCCAGAGTCAAGAAGCGAAACTTCCGTGTCGGGGACCTGGTTCTTCGCAAGGTCATGGTACCTGAGCCCGGCATTGGCAAACTCGAGCTGAACTGGGAAGGACCCTACCGAGTAAAGAGAGCACTCAGAGGAGCGTACGAGCTCGAGACCCTGGAGGATAGGCAAATACCCCGAGCTTGGAATATCATCAACCTAAGGCAATATTACCTATAAGTTACCGAACTGAGCGGACTGTGAGCCGCTCCCAGAGCCTAAGGGCCAGAACGCCAAGGTAACAAAGACCTCGGCACTACAAGACCCAATCGCCTCCCCGGCATGGGCAAAAACCTAGGAAAATATCCTAAGGGCTAAAACGCCGAGCTGAGGATGACCTCGGGACCTCATCAACGCAAACTAAGTGTTAGTGCCAAGAGAGCAGGCAACACGGGTATGAAACTCGGGGTGTATAGCTCGCTCCAAGCCAGGCCTACTGAACTGATGTTTCCTTTACCCAGGCGGAGAATAGATCGGGCATATAGCCTTACTATGTTAACCTGCCTCAAGGAATCCCCTCGTTTCGAGGACCTAATTCTATGCAGCTCGGCAATATAGTCACTTCGGCAAAAGGAGAATAGTTGCACAAAACTTGAGCAGAAAAAGTACTTCATTACAAATGTTTGCTTTACAATGTTCAAAAAAAAAAAGAAGAGAAAAATTATGAGCTCGCAGGCTCGATACATATCACTTCGGGCTCGCAGGCCCAGTACACATCACTTCGGAACTACATCTCCCTTGCCCTCAGAAGGGACTTCGGCAACCCTTGGGGAGTCAACCTCGTCTTCAGAATCTGGATCTTCATCAGCTGCACGAGCCATCTCTGGAGTAATACGCGAGGTGGTGATGGCACGAGTATCAAGTTCGGGGTAGGTGTGCCTTATCATCCACCGGCTCAGTTTGAAGCCTCTCTGGTATGAGCCCACCATCAGGTCGTCGAAGCGCTCCAACGCTATGTAATCGTCCACGGCCTTCACCTTGGTGTCCTCAAGAGCCTGGAAGAAGATCTCAAACTTCTCCTTGATGTCGGCCTTGAGGTATTCCACCTCGTGCTCCAAGACCCCTTTCGAGGTTGCGAGGTGTTTCACGACAAGCCTCAGGGCATCGTTCTCTCTTCGGAGTCTCTCCAATCACTCCTCTGAGCCGAAGTCTCACCCTCAAGATGCTGGACCCGCTCCCGAGCTGGTCCCAAAGCCTCTTCGGCAGTTTGCGCTCGCTCTCGAGCTGATCCCAAAGCCTCTTCAGCAGTTTGCGCCCGCTTCAGATTCCTCTCCGATTGGATGATCAAGGCATGGATGGAGGAGTTTGCCTGCCAAGCAAGGAGTCAGTTCGGCAAGAAAGTAAAAGTCGAAGCAAAAAATAGAGGAAAAACCATGTCAACTTACCACCATAACATGAGATGCAGCACGTGCGCCGATGTGGCCCGGAGGAAGTTCGGACCATGCTACGACCTCGCCTGGATAAATGGCCTTCTGGCTCTTCTGGAGAGCACAGCTCGGAGTCAACACACTGCCAACCCCATCTTGGCTCCCCGAGTTGGAAAACACCGTTTGTGTTCGAGAAGCCTCTGTAGTTTCAGCTTCCCGAGTCTCTGCAACACCGGGTTCCGCTGCCATTTCTGGGATTGGCCCGGCCACCTCAGGTTCCCTGGGAGAATCCAGGTTGATGATCGGAGGATGGCTCAGGATTTCGGATTCCATGGCCCGAGGAGACTCCACACGAGCTCGCTTGGTGACCCGCTTCCTCCTCTTCATTCCGTCAAGTAGGTTGACACCACGGGTCTTCTTTGCCTCCATGATACCTGCGAATAGAGCTCAGCATCAGTAACAAAAAAAAAAGAAAGGAAAACTGAGTAAAGAAGCCTACCCGGACTCAGGCCGGCCTGAATAAACTTAGCCTCTAAGAGGTAATCTCCGCACTCAAGCCCGACCTGGGCCCAGGACTGAAAGGTCTCCGCCATGTCTTTATCTAACATGACGCCGGGATCAGGGACAGCTGCCCTCCAATGAGTAGGAAACGGCCACCCCGTAGCACTTCGGACCACGAAGTAGTCCCGCTTCCACGCCGGGACCTTATTTGAAAGTTTGTGAAGAAGTTTAAATCCCGGGCGGGGAGACAGGTAGTAGGCCCGCCTATGCTCGGGAAGGAAGCTCGCTTGTTTTTTGAGCATGAGAAGGGCAGAAAAAATTTTTAAGTCAAGGGAATAACGTATTCGCAGCAGAGGAATATGGTCCCGACGACATTACGAATGGAGTTCGGGTGAAGCTGACCGACTAAGACACCAAAGTGGTTCAAGACTTCGACGATTAAGGGGTGGAGAGGAAGGCGCAGCTCGGCAATGAGCTGCTCCCGGAAGACCACGATCTCATCTGGATTGTGCTCCCAAGGAAAGTTGCCCGAAGGTAAGCTATATGCATACTCCCCGGGCAGGTTGAACTGACGAACAAGGAACCAGAGTCTCTCAAACGTCATAGTGGAGAGTCCAAACGTGTCCGGCATCCGAACCCGACGAGAAGTGGACTCTAGGCTACCAGGGGTGACCCGGGCTGAAGGCCCTACCTCGGGCTCATCCAGAAGGCTGTCAAAAGAGTCAGCCCGACCCGAGGTCCCCGCCTCAGGCCCTTCTAAAAGATTATCTAAGCTACCCAAGCTACTCAAACTAGACATCGCAAAAGGGAAGGAAAGGAAATTGAAAAGGCTAAGAGGACTCACCAAGGGAACGCTACCGAACTAGGGAAGGTGACGCGAGCTGAGGACCTTGGACGCGAGCTCAAGAAACAATCGTTGAATATTGACAAAGGAAAAAGTGACCAGGGCCCCCACTATTTATAGCCGTTGTACCCGCGCATCAATGGTCGAGATCAAAGCCATCCAACGGCTCTCTGGAAAACCGGCTACACGACCCCTGAGGTGAAATCAGTTTAGCGCGAATTTTTGATGTCCGAGAGCTGATAAATCGTTTGACGTCCGCGCGTGAGTTGTACGCGACCCAAGTTGACTCTGGTCGAGCCGCACTGACCCTGGTTGAGCCAAGGGCATAGGCGGGTCAGATCGGGGGATCTCTGAACTGGACGAAGCATGCCACGAGGCAAATCCACCTGTCAGTCCGTGAACTCCCCATGGAGGTAGATTTGGCCCGACCCCTTGGCTATGCAACACGTGGAAGAAACCGGGGTGACCTGGCAGGAACGCCAGCTCGGCACGGTAACATAGCATGGCTATATCCCAAGAAGAGGCCCGAGCTTCCCGAGCTCTCCAAGAAGAGGCCCAAGCTCCCGAGCTCTCCAAGAAGAAGCCCGAGCTCCCGAGCTCCCCAAAAGGAACCCACACTTCCTGGGAGGTGAAACCCTAGCTATCCCTAAGAATCCCAAAGCTAGCAAGCCCGCGAGGGGCGAAGCCCGGACTAGCCCACCTCGGGTCAGTCTGGGTCATATCCCGGCACCTCGGGACAGTAGGCCATACTCTCATCCGAACTCAAGACTTCACCCCGTGCACCACTCCGGCAACTCGGGTCTAGGTCGTGCAATTGTGAAATCGTACCTGACAGGTCCGTACTCAAGGGCAGCACGCCTGACTGGTCTGGATCTGACATATGGCAATCACACTGTAACGGCCACCTACTACCGCCATCTCAGTTGTGGCAGAGACGGCCCTGACAGAGAGGACAGTGGCGGTTAGGTCTGCCCCCCACAGAGGCTGTTATACCTGACCTGGCAGAAGCTTGGGAATGAGTGCACCAGGTGGTTATAAAAGGCCTTCTTCCCCTAGAAAGAGGTATGTGATATTTGTGCTTTCTGGTCCTAAAGCCTCTTATTTTCCCTTGCCTTCTCAAGAGTATTAACTTGAGTTTTGGAGTATTCCCACCGGGTTCTTCCCCGGAAATCTCTTATTTCTTCCTTGTTTTAGGCATCTTCAGCTCCTTCAGAGACAAGGTTACCGGCAGTTAAGACCGATCGGATCGTGCATCATCACTAACCATTTTATTTTTCTATTATTCAGTTTTCCAAAAGATAAAAATAAATTAATGATATTTACCTATTATTATCAAACCAAATTAAATTAAATACTGATAATTAATAACAAAAATAATGATAATTCTTTCATATTCATAATAATCAATTTATAATTATACACGTAATGTTAATCATAATTAACATTACTTAGTACGGGAAAGTTAATAATTATTATTTCCATTGGCAGCAAATAATGTAAAAATTATTTACTGAAATTATCCATTTTAAATCAGAATTTTGCATTGAGTTGCAGTATATATATATATATATATATATATATATATATACGGGGTCATTCACTAGTTGAAGAAGTAAGCGAAAATAATGCATGATAGAGTGAGCAACCGGTCATTCACTAAATGGACCTGAAAACCTGGCCGGGTGGTGAACCAATCGGTCTAATTGGATAGGCCAGTGATGGTTTGTTCCTCACATACCTGACCAGACTTTATATTTAGGGGTGATCATTCTTTGCTCGGCCAGGAAACCCAGCCCCAAGCCCAGACACAGGCTACATCCCTTTTCATAGGTGCAAAACCAGGCCCGGCCCATCATGACCCCCACTTTATATCAACTTGAGAGACACCATCTATCTATATTGATAATCCTTTGGACAATCAAACAATTAAGATGGGTGGGTGGATTAATTCTCCAAGACAGTTAAATCCTCTTCAGTCTTCATCAGGATATAGACATGCATATATAGTAGGTTAATTTGACTAGTGAATGAATATGGGAGAATTCAATATAGCTTTTGCCTTGAAAAACTATTACAATCATTTACAATTAATGGGGATCGAATTAAATGTATAGAGAAATAGAATCCATAGAAAATTGAAAGAAGGGAGTAGATCCTTCAGTCCCTTCATAATTGCTTGTAGGCACCTCACCAAAAACTTGCTGATGGCTAGGAGCTTCTCTTGAAGGTGAGGGTATGTCTTCAGGGTCCCTCTTGGGTTTAACCCATCTTCCATAAGAGTTGAGAACTAGTCCCTTGTTAGCCAATTGGTACCAGCAGTGAGGGATTCTCAGCTCATCCACCAACAACCCACAGGCTTTGTTTACCAGCGCAATATCCCTCCGAGCATCCGACCTGAATGTTGAGGCAGAACTCAGGAAGCCATCTACGAGATGTAGGTAGGTCTCCTGGCTGTGGAAACCAAGCAAATCCAGCCCACGCTTGAGGTAGGGTGATGAGCTTACATCAAGTCTCAGTTCAGCTCCTACATGTGTGTAGACCCACTCCAATGGCCCTGTGAAATCATCAAACCTTTCCAAACCCTCATTAAGCATAAGTCCAGGCATCTTTGGGACTACATCTTGCTTCACCACCACCCGCAGCGTTTTCACTCCCATCTGCTGAAGCTTCTCTCTGAAAGCAACGTTCCCTACTCTTGGTGCACCGAAAGAGATGACACTGATGGGGAGGCCAGGGAGAGAGGAGGCAGCTTCATAAGCATTGAGGAGACCTAAAGCACCGCCGAGGCTATGGCCGGTGATGGTAAGGCTCACTTCTTCACCTCTTTCTCTATAGAAGCTAACCAATCTTCTAACTTCTTTCATCACTTGTTCTGATGCGCTTGACTTGTTATATCTAGTGGTGTCACACTTGGAAGTGTAGATGCTGAGGAATCCATGTTCAACTCTCACATCCCCATCTCCAATTGGCTCTAGTTTCCTCTGCAAATCCTCATACCACTCGGAGGGTGCCACAGTCCCACGCCATGCCACCACGATATCTCTTCTTCCTATCCTGCGTGATTCTTCCCCGTTACTGACTGCAACAAACCCCATCCAATTTGAATCCTTGCTCCATGTTTCCTCCACCAAATTTGACCTCTGGAGCCAGCGAGGCATGTCAATGTGAGACATGGCGTAGATGTACTTGCTCATCACGTACCCATTCTTGCCAAGTCCTAGCTTCTCAAAGAACCTTTTGGGATTGTATCTGCAGCTCCCACAGTACTCAGAGAAAGAGTCAAAGTCGAATGCATCATATGTGGCCTGAGAAAATTCGCCATACTTTATGATCTCTCGCCGGAGCCAGGGGTGGAGTGGGTCTAACAGATTGTCCCAGTCGGTCAATCCATGGAGTTCACACCATTTCTCTGATATGTCTTCTTTAGGGGATGATGTCGGAGTAGTCCGATCGCTGTGGTCTAGGCAACTCCAATCTATTTGGTGAAGTTCTTTACGTAGCGGGGTCTCTATATGTACACGGAGAAGGCCCGAGAGAGATTCAGCCAGCCGCCGAGTGGCTGTGGCTGCACCGTTGCTCTTTGCTGGATGATGATGCTCTGACTTGACGGCAATCTTCTGATTGTTGGGGATTAGGAGGCTTCTGGTTTTTGTAGAACTTCTTGGGACAGGAAGGTGCTGATTAATGGAAGAGGGTGTGGTCTGCATGATGTCAATTAATTCCCAAGAGGATCAAAAGATCTCCTGGGAAAACTGTTTTGAGGGGATCGAGATGCTTTCTGAGCTTTACTTTTGATTGTTCCAGGTCTCGACTATATACGGAGCTTTCAGATTTGGAGAAGAAAGAGTGGGAGGAAGATATAAATAGGAAGAGAGGATGGCTAATTTGGACTTTTGGAGGTTCTCTGCAACACGGGAGACGGGACACCGGACACGGCCGGCCAGAGAGGAATTTTAATGGACGCGTCGATGACTTCTTTTCTTCATGGGTAGGTAAGGTCTGGATTGTTGAAAAGTTGGCAAAGGTTGACTTCTTCTGTCTATTTAGCGACAAGCCCGCCCTTACCGCGAGGGAGATATTACGGTAAATGCCCACGACTTTGAAAATTGAAAAGCTCCCACACCCACACCACATCACATGCGGCGTTTGTTAGTCAAACCGGCCGGACCAGTGGACCGGCTTGGACAGGAACTGAACCAGTAGTGAATGGTCTTGTATTGACCCCGAGCGGGATGCATAGAAGTTTGATAAAGTTGGTTTGGATCATTTATTTCATACGATCTATCGAACCGGAAGGACCACTACGCGTCGTTGGTTCTGCTGGTTGGATGTGGCACCGTCATTATTGTTAATGTGTTTTCTACAAAGCCATGAGGCCCATGAAGTAATTTGGTTAAGATTTAAGAGGGTGTGATCAGGGGCCGGCCCGGGCTCCGCGTCTGAAACAAAAGCCCAAGCCCGACCCAAACCTGATTCTAGGCCTATGTCATATATTATGCATATAATATCAAATGACATATATTATATGCATATAAATTTATTTTATACATTATGTAATATAACTTTATATTATAAGTGTTGTATTATAATATTTATAGTAAAAAATAAATATATTAAACTATATGTGGCCAGGCTTAAAGTATTAAGTCTAGGTAAGGATTAATGTTTTGGTATCGAATATCATATCAAATTGTTCAGATATAGATAAGGACGAAAAAATAGGTTTTAGAAATGTGTGGAAATGTGTGGATAAGGACGAAAAAATATGGAGACTCTTGAATACATTTGGAAGTGCATATAAATTTAATAACATTATATTTAAGATCAAAATATCCATAATTAGTGTATTAATACATAAGAAAATGTATATTCTAATGACATTTGTGAATAAATGTATTACAATTAATATAGTGGGATGCATAGAGAACATACAATTTTATTGATAATGTATCAATCAAGAGTCCTAGAATATATTATATATTTTTATAAATTAATGCATGCACAATGTTATTATTATGTTATTTTCTATTGAAGTTGAAGCCACAAAATATATGCAACAATTATATGTGAATTATTATATAGTAATTTTAATTTTTATCATCAACAAAAAAGTCAACTAAAAATTAATTATCAAATATTTTTATTTTTGTAAACAATAAATAATCGTTATAAAGTGTAATTAAAATATAAATTAATAATTTATAAAATATATAATTTTAGCTTAAAATATGCCAAATATATTAAAATTTATAAGATACATATCATATGCAAATTCAATTATTAATATTTTTATTTTTATAAATTTATGAAATAAAAAAATCATTTTTTGATATAAAAGTTTATTAGTGGATTTGAGAAATTCAATTTATATTATATTCTCAATTATTTTGTAAACAATATTTTTATTTTTATAAATAATAAATACGTTGTTATCCAATGCAAATTAAAATATCAATTAATAATTTATAAAAGTTTTAAGATACACATCATGTTCAAATTTATAAATTTTAAGTTCTAAATAGTATTTTATTTGTATAAATTTCTTGAGATTAAAAACCACTTTTTGATATAAATGTGGACTTGAAAATTATTTATTCCATTAGTTTACAAAATACTAATTTTGAATAGTATTCTTTTATTTAGCTGAAATTGTTGAACTTAAATATATGTTATTTGTCTAGATTACATAAGGGCATTATAATTGATAAAGGTTATTTTATTTCATTTATTATCAAAAAGTGTAGGCTGGCTTAGTGGTTTAAGGGTGTGTTTATTAAGTAGAGGCTGGCTTAGTGGTGATTTTGGTGATACAAATGAGTATCACGATATTTAAACTGCCCATCCTTACAAGGCATGTTCATCAAGCCGATGAAACCAACTAACTTGATTAGGTTTTAATATTTTAAGTTGGCTTTGGTTCAGCAATTTTCCAACCTGGTCAGGTCGGGTCAATTTTGGCTAGGCCATTTGTAAGCTGAGTAAAACCAAATCGACCCTGTCATGGATATATATTAATATTTTATACTGTAAATATAATTTTTTTAATACGTGAAAGGGGGAAACTCCCATATTTCCTAGTTTAAAATATTTTATATTGTAAATTTAAATTTTTTAATAACAACATTGTAATTTTTAAAAGTTAAAATTAAATTTTAATTTATTTATTAAATTTAAATTTTTTGAAAAGATCGATCAAATCGAAAACCGATATAACTTGAATTGGCCGATTTTCACTAATGACCAATCGATTTCGGATAACAAACTCCCCAACTCAATTAGGTCGATTCGATTGGCCAAACACCTTACAATCGAACCAACCCATAAACACCCCTATTCCCCACCCGACGAGATGAAACATTCACCATCCTTGTCACATAGAAAAAAGATGTCCACGAGGACCAATAAATTTGAACCAATGAATTATAATATGCTTTCTAGCCTTGCTCAATTATAGACTGTGTTTGGTTTGAAGGAAAAGGTAAGAAAAGGAAGCGAAAATTAGAAAAAAAAAATTATATGAGGTTTGGACAGATTTTCCTTTCTTAATTTTCATTCCTTTCTCTAACTTTTCCTTCAAATCAAAGACAGCCTAATGTCCAACTGTTTCACTTTCTAGAGCTCCATACTTGATTTGTAAGTTGTAACCTCTTTAGGGAGGATATTATTCGATGATTGATGCAATAAATTCAGGCTTATGGCTGAAAAATATTGGAAAGGTAAAGGTTGTTTACTTTCAATCATCAAATAAATTATTACAGCTGGTAATTTTTGACAAGATGTGAATAAGATTTATTTTAAATAGGTTAATCATGTTTATTTTATGTTAATTTCGATTATACATGTCACTTAATATAGAATTAAATAGGTTAATCATATTAATTTGGATTGCACCTTGTGTAATAAATAAATAGGTCGTGTTTGTATTTGAAAATTTGACATCATTAATTTGAGTGTAATATTCTCGTTGACCCATATATCCAAATACTGATACCTTGACACAACATGAACACGACTAGTGAACATGAACTGCCGCCCTATAAACAATTCAATTTTGAAGTTGATTATTTTATTGAATTGGATTGATTTTGTTTCTTGTCTCAATTATATGGGTGAATTACATGAATCCTATATTGTCATTTCATTCTGCAGTACTATATCAATTGTCCTATTAAAAGTGTTTTTTATCTTTTCTCAAGAAACAGGTTGGGGGTATTTTATGAGAAACTGAACACTATATGAGGTCAGCTACGTGAATTCTAATTTGGCATTCCGTTCTATTTAGTATTATGTCAATTATCAAATTATGGGAGTTTCCTATTTTTTCTTGAGAAAAATATTAGGGTTTTTTTGGTAATTCCACCAACTTTTCTGATTTCACGCAATATGAACGCTCCCTTCTGTACTGTGAATCGGATTCTGAGTGTAAGTCAATCTGGCTAGGCCGAGCTGATGCCTAGGTGTCCAAGCTAAAGCAAGCTGTAAGGCGAGAAGAGTGAGAGTGACCGGGTGTTTTTTATCTGGGGGGAATACTCCGATGCTTAAGTTAGTAGGTGAATGCAGATTTATCAGTGAGTGTGAGAGAGCTAGAGTGTATGAGTGTGCGTACCTCCCCAAGTGAATTCAGGCTTCTTTTATAGTCATCAGAGGTTCAGGGTGCTTTGGCAATGTCTCTGAGTTTTTGGTGGAGCTATTTCCGCAATATGAGGCATATTAATGCGTCAATTACTAGATCTACGCAGCGGTTATAGTTCGTTCATTCAGATTGTAGCGCACGACACGGTGAGTAGCTCCAACAGTCGCGACATCGGCGGCCTCAGGAGCCGGATGTGGGGGCAGATAGACAATCTCTCCTTCGCAGGTCACCTTAGCTCGCCTCAAGTTGGCTGACTTCTTGGCCAGGTTGCCAGCTACCTTAGGGTCCCTGCCAGCTCGCCCTTACTGAGGTTGAGAGCGGTCCTGTGCAAGGTGCTCTGAGCTAACCTGCCAAGTGGGCTTGCTGACTTGGCATTGCACTGTCGCTGATGACCACGTGTCGTCATTTGTTTGGGAGGGCCAAATTAACCCTCATCAATTGCCCCCCACTCTCGAGTCAATGTCTATTTGGTGAAGAGAGTAGGTTCTTCTACGGGTATTTGGCCCGGTCTGGTTCATGGGTATCCTAGCTCGACCGGGTTCGGTTAGCTACTTGAGCCGTGCTTCTAAAAATTTCAAATCTTGAAAAGGGAGGGAAGGTGCGTGTTCGGCGGGATCTTTGGTGGGCGCTCAAATTTGAATCTCAACATGCTTCATGTGTGCGCGTGTGATTTCAAAAATTTGAACTTTCAAATTTGCGTGCTCAAAATTTCACTCATGCGTGCGCCCTGACAGCTATAACCTAGCTGTTTTGGTCACTCAAAATCTGCACCATTGGATCTCTGGTTTGCGCTTTCTGCTAGCTATAACTCGCATCGGCGCCACTGATCACATCCCTAGCGAGTTATAAGTATGGGGTCCTTGTTGAGGTCCCCACATACACGGTGTAGCTTCTTGGAGGTTTCTGGAGATTTGCGATTCTGCGATCTAAGCCAGTCGGCTGAGCCGAGCTCCATCTTCCTGCTAGTTTGAGCTCCTTTGTTGCTGTTTTTCTAGGTTTCCTCCATTTTTCTAGTGAGTACTCATGATTTTTTTCACCATGTCTGGTAGTCCAGTGGAGTATAGGTTTTCCGACCATCGCTCGGATGGTGAAGTGAATCCCTTGGGGTAGGGCTTGTTCGGTGTGTGTGGTGGTGCCAGGGTGGGAAAGAGACACGAGGTTGAGCAAGCCATGTCGTCCTTTAGCCTGACTAAGTTGTCTGGTGAAGA